GGTTAATATGTTGTGGGGTTGTTAACCAATGTCATAAAACAACATGTGTACTACTGTTTCATGAGAAACTATTTGTTCTGTAAGCCTTCACTTGAAGTACAATAAAATATTTAAAAAAAAAATTTTCACTGCTAAAATTTTCACTGAGGGGAAATAAGTGGTGGTGCAAACAGTTTGCTCTCTACTGCTAACTAAAGGGTGGTTCAAATCCACTCAGTGGTACTACGGAAGAAAAGCCCGGTGATTTGCTTCCATTAAGATTACAGCCAAGAAAACCCTATAGAGCAGTTCTACTCTGTTCTATAACAAATCGGGCGGCCCTGAGTTAGAATTGACTCCATAGCAACCAACAACAACAATAATAAATATGGAGAAATGTCAAAGGTTCAAGAAATCTTCTATGATCCTCATTGTACTTGGCCCAAATTCTAGGGCCTGACTCCCTTGCTAGCTGGTGCACTGGGGAAGCCCCAACACCTCTCACCCTACTCAGGGTCCTGAAAGCCCCTTCCCACTACATAAGCCTGAAGGTATCATTATTGTTATTGCTGCTATGTGCCATCAAGTTGGTTCCGACTCATAGTGACCCTATAAGACAGAGTAGAACTACCCCATAGGGTCTGCTAGGCTGAAATCTTCATGGGAGCAGATTGCCAGGTCTCTTGGCTTCGATTTGGCTGGTAGGTTCGACCCACCAACCCACTGATTAGCAGTTGAGCACTTAACTGTTGCAACATCAGGGCTCCTTGAAGGCACCATTAGGAGTAAACAAATTGGTATAAACTATAATCCATTGAAGTATGTGGGGAAGACTTAGGGGACGGGAGGAGAAGAGGAGAGAGCACACATTCATCCAGTGCCTCTTACATGCTGCGCACTGGGCTGGTGGTAAAGCTCAGTGGTTCAGAGCTCAGGCTCAAGGTCAGACTAGCCTCCACACAAATCTTGGCTTCATCACGTATTTGCTTTGTGATCTTGGACAAACTAATCACTGGCTCTGAGCAATACTTTCCTCACCAATAAACTGGAGAATAATAATCTCAAAGGACTGAGATGGTAAAATAAAATACTACATGTATAGGGTTTAGTACAGTGCTTGACATATAGTAAGTGTTCATTAAACATTTATCATCAGCACTACCTCTTGAAAACCTATGATCTAGGAATTGTTGTTGTTAGGTGCTGTTGAGTTGGCTCCAACTCACAGTGACCCTATGTACAACAGAACGAAATACTGCCCAGGTCGGTGCCATCCTCACAATCGTTATGCTTGAGCCCATTGTTGCACCCACTGTGTCAATCCATCTCGTTGAGGGTCTTCCTCTTTTTCACTGCCCCTCCACTCTACCAAGCATGATGACCTTCTCCAGGGCCTGGTCCCTCCTGACAACATGTCTGTGGTGTGATTAATTACTTTTGTGTGTGACCTTTCTAGCCATGGTCTTGTGATTCCCACCCAGGTGATTGGGTGGAGTTGTGCAAATAAGATAATTGTGGCCCACTGAGGGGATTGGTCAGTTTTGCCTTAAAAGAGAGCCATTTCCAGAGCAGAGAGGAGAGTCCACCACCACCAAAGAGGGAGAGACTTGCAGCAGAGAACCACAGCAGAGACTGGCAGCAGAGACTCGCAGGAAATGGTGCAGTGGACTTACTGGCTCACAGAGCAAGAAAGCTGAGTGCCTTTGGGCAGAGACTGAGGGTCAGGGAGAAGTCTGTGCCTAACCCACGAATTTGGGACTTGCCAGCCTCCACAACCCCGTGAGCCATTTCCTTTATATGGTTCATGAGTTCTGTGAGACGTTGCAGTGAATTAGGGAAGCCAAAGACAGGAGGGAGAGTACTGAGGTGAGAGGGAGTAGGTGATGTTACAGATAATGAAGTGGTACAGCAGCTTGGAAAAGTTAGACATTTGGGACATCTTTAACCTCTGCCTCATAGGAACCAGCTTTGTGCTGATCCTTATAAAAGAAATTATTCGTTTAATGTCCAAAGTATGTGAGACGAAGTCTCACCATGCTCGCTTCTAATGAGCATTCTGGCTGTACTTCTGCCAAGACAGATTTGTTCGATCTTCTGGCAGTCCATGGTCTATTTAATATTCTTCGCCAACACCATAATTCAAAGGCGTCAATTCTTCTTCGGTCTTCCCTTATTCATTTTCTAGCTTTCACATGCATATGAAGTGATTGAAAACACTATGGCTTGGGTAAGGCACACCTTAGTCTTTAAAGTGACATCTTTGTTTTTTAACACTTTAAAGAGAATCTTTTGCAGCAGATTTACCCAATGCAATGCGTCATTTGATTTCTTGACTGCTGCTTCCATGGGCATTGAGTGTGGATCCAAGTAAAATGAAATCCTTGAATTTCTGGCAGTTCCCTGTCAATGTACTGCTGCAACTGCTCTTGAATGATCTTCAGCAAAATTTTACTTGTGTGTGATATTAATGATATTGTTCGATAATTTCCACATTCTGTTGGATCAGCTTTCCTCAGAAAGGGTACAAATATGGATTTTTTCCAGTCGGTTGGCCAGGTAGCTGTCTTCCAAATTTCTTGGCATAGACAAGTGAGCGTGTCCAGCACTACATCTGTTTGTTGAAACATCAACTCCATGAATTCCTGGAGCCTTGTTTTTCACCAATGTCTTCAGTGCAGCTTGGACCTCTTCCTTCAGTACCATTGATACTTGATCATATGTTACCTCCTGAAATGACTGAATGTTGACCAATTCTTTTTGGTACAGTGACTCTGTGTATTTCTTCCATCCATTTTTCATGCTTCCTGCATCAGTTAATATTTCCCTGTAGAATCCTTCAATATTACAACTCGAGGCTTGAATTTTTTCTTCAGTTCTTTCAGCTTGAGAAAGACCATCTCCAGGTCTTTGCATATGTCATTATAATACTTTACTTTGTCTTCTCAAGCTGCCCTTTGAAATCTTCTGTTCAGTTCTTTTACTTCATCATTTCTTCGTTTCGCTTTAGCTACTCGACGTTCAAGAACAAGTTTCAGAGTCTCTTCTGATATCCATTTTGGTCTTTTCTTTCTTTCCTGTTTTTTAATGACCTCTTGCTTTCTTCATGTATGATGTCCTTGATGTCATTCCACAATTCATCTCGTCTTTGGTCATTAGTGTTCAATGAGTCAAATCTACTTTTGAGATGGTCTCTAAATTCAGGTGGGATATACTCAAAGTCATATTTTGGCTCTTGTGGACTTGTTCTAATTTTCTTCAGCTTGAACTTGCATATGAGCAGTTGATGGTCTGTTCCACAGTTGGCCCCTGACCTTGTTCTTACTGATGATACTGAGCTCTTCCATTGTCTCATTCCACAGATGTAGTCGATTTGATTCCTGTGTATTCCACTGGGATAGGTCCACATGTATAGTCGCCGTTTATGTTGTTGAAAAAGTTACTTGCAATGAAGTTGTTGGTCTTGCAAAATTTTATCACGTGATCTCTGGCATTCTTTCTATCACCAAGGCCATATTTTCCAACTACAAATCCCTCTTCTTTATTTCCAGCTTTCACATTCCAATCACCAGCAATTATCAATGCATCTTGATTGCATGTTTTATCAATTTCAAATAGCAGAAGTTGGTAAAAATCTTCAATTTCTTCATCTTTGACCTTAGTGGTTGGTGTGTAAATTTGAATAATAGTCGTATTAACTGGTCTTCCTTGTAGGCATATGGATATTATTCTATCACTGATAGCGTTGGACTTCAGGATAGATCTTGAAATGCTCTTTTTGATGATGAACGTAATGCCATTCCTCCTCAATTTGTCATTCCCAGATAGTAGACTATATGATTGTCTGATTCAAAATGGCTAATACCAGTCCATTTCAGCTGCTTAATGCCTAGATATCGATCTTTATGCGTTCCATTTCACTTTTGACAACTTCCAGTTTTCCTAGATTCATACTTTATACATTCCACATTCCAATTATTAATGGATGTTTGAAGCTGTTTCTTCTCATTTTGAGTCATGCCACATCAGCAAATGAAGGTCCCAAAAGCTTGACTCCAGCCACATCATTAAGGTTGACTCTACCAGTCAAAATAACAGTCGTATTTTAAGTGCCTTCCAACCTGAGGGGCTATCTGTCAGCACTATATCAGACAGTGTTCTGCTGCTATTCATAAGGTTTTCACTGGCTAATTTTTTTCAGAAGTAGACCGTCAGATCCTTCTTCCTCTTCTGTCTTAGTCTGAAAGCTCAGCTGAAACCTGTCCACCATGGGTGAACCTGCTGGTATTTGAATACCAGTGGCATGGCTTCCAGCATCAAAACAACATACAAGCCCCCACAGAACGACAAACTGACTGACCTAGTAATTACTGTCCCCACTTTATAGAGTAGGAAACTGAGGCTCAGAGGAATAAAGAAACTTGAGTGACAGAAGTTGGCAGTGCTCTCTCTCTCTCCATTACACCTAGGCTTCTGAGTTTCAAGCAGGCAATGTAAACCCCTGAAGAAATCTAGACAAAATGCTCTCTTAACTTGTACCTACCTTAGTAAGGAATTACTCTTAGGAGATTTCTTAACTGTATCACCTTGCATCTACTATCAGCAATACCCTAATTCTTACCCTGGCATATTCACAGAGCTAGTTTTTCTAGCCACATCTCCTGCCCTCTTTTGAATCATCTCCACTCTTAAATTTCCAATCACGTGCTCACCTGTTTAGGTAACAGAGCCTCATGTTGTCTTGCTTCTGATATTCTCTTGACTTGATTTGTAACTTTCCTCAATAGCATTGCTTGACAGTGAAGCTCTATCAAGAGAATATTAGCAATAAATAAATAAAACCAAAGATAATTGGAGCTTTCCAGCTGTGATGGGAAAAGGCATAAGGTAGATCTCATCTTCCTATTAGACAATGTGTTCAGACTATTGGGAGACGCTGGAGGAAACAGCGCAGGTAAATACATACAATGTCACTTGCATTTAACTAGATATACACCTGCAGCCATATAGTGGTCCATTTACTTATTTATCTGTCCATCCTTCTATCTATCCACCCATCTGCCCATTCATCTATCCATCCATCCACAAACATTTACTACGCAGCTATTATGTGCTGGGCCCATGGTAGGGACTAGAAGTAGACTATCTTCAGGGAACTCACAGTTTCATGAGAGAAAAAGACATGTAAATAGTAAGTGTAACACTGACTCAGGTGCCATGATAGAATTCTCTACAGGATACAGTATAGACAATGAACAAAAAGGAAAGATCTAAAGGTTTTTAAAATGCTGAGCAACATCAATTTAAAAAGAAAAAAAAGACCCAACTCTTACATAAATGTATGGTTTATCTAAAAGAAAGAGTTAACAGAGAAGATCTTAAAGACAAGCAGAGAGAAAACAACGGTCACCTATAAATGAATAGCAATTAGAATAACAGCAGAGTTCTCAACAGCAACAATGGAAGACAGAAGATGGTGGAATAGTATCACCAAAATTTTGAGAGAAAATAACTTTTAAGCTAGATTTGTGTACCTAGCAAAACTATCTTTCAAGAATAAAGATGAAATAAAGACATTTATAGAAAGACAAAAACTAAGGAAATTTACCAAGAGACCTGTGATAAAGGGAATGCTAAAGGAGATTATAAAATCATCTTTGTTGTGGGGGGATGTCCTGTGCATTGTAGGATGTTTAGCAGTATCTCTGACCTCTACCCACTACACACCAGTAGCAACCTCTCCCTTAGACGTGACAACCAAAAATGTCTTCAGACACTATTAAATGTCCCCTTGTGTGTGTGTGTGGGGGGGGAATTGTCCCTGGTTGAGAACCACTACAACTATATATATATAGTATAAAATGGAATGAAAATAAAAAAAGAGCAGACCAAAGAACTCTATCAGAGCTGCAGCTCTGGTTAAGATGCAGTAAGCACATTCCACCCTATCGCCCACTGAATGCAGCTGAAAACCCTAGACAGATTGCATGGAGTATCTATCTGAAGACTCTGAAAAGTAAATGGTAACAGGTGAATTGAGGAAGGAAACCAGAACTCAAAATATGAATCATCTGGCAATGAGTTCCCTGGATTTTTTTCCTCCTGTATCTCCCAGCATAAACTCAAAGGCAACAGGAATTCCAGAACTGAGCACCAGGTGCAGACAGAAAGAGATCTAACAGAAGTCCTCTCTTTGTGGTCCAAGGAGAGGGGAGGGAGACTTCCTGTGGGACAAGAGTGGGAGAAATCCTGCTTTGTTTTTTCTCTCACCCATGCCCCTAGGCAAGCCCCCCTGAAGCTATAATCCTGTGATGGTAGCAGCGGCAGCAGCAGTGACAGCTGGATGGACACCTAGGACTGTGAGGGATGGAAGTCCTTCTCTTGGACCAGAGGAACTATGGTACAAAGAGTGTGGAGGGAATCCCTGTCTTGAAAAATTACTCTGGAAGCAGAAAGAAGGAAGGATAAAAGAAAGGACAAAAGTGTATGTGTGCGGATCAGTCTGAAGGCAGAGAGATGAGGGAGGTTTGGACAACGACTCCATGGATAGTGGTTTGCTGTAGGTTCTGTCCGACCACCCCGAGTCTGAGTCCTGTATCTACTGTTAGTAGTTTTCATGGATTGAATTGTGTCCCCCCAAAATGTGTGTCAACTTGGCTAGGCCATGATTCCCAGTATTGTGTGACTGTCCACCATTATGCCACCTGATGTGATTTTCCTATGTGTTGTAAATCCTACCTCTATGATAGTAATGAGGCAGGATTAGAGGCAGTTATGTTAATGAGGCAGGACTCAATCTACAAGATTAGGTTGTGTCTTAAGCCAATCTCTTTTGAGATGTAAAAGAGAGATGTGAGCAGAGAGACATGGGGAACTCATACCACCGAGAAAGCAGCATCGGGAGCATAGCATGTCATTTGGACCCAGGGTCCCTGCACCTGAGAAGCTCCTAGAGGTGAAGATTGATGACAAGGACCTTCCCCCAGAGCAAACAGAGACAGAAAGACTTCCCCTGGAGATAGCACCCTGAATTCGGACTTCTAGCCTCCTAGACTGTGAGAGAATAAATTTCTCTTTGTTAAAGTCGTCCACTTGTGGTATTTCTGTTATAGCTGCACTGAATGACTAAGACAGTAGTTATGCAATCTTGGGGAAGACTTCTATGCCTCATTCTCTCCATTTGTAAAATGGGGATAACAAATAGTACCTTTCAGTCCAATTGCTTGAAAAGGCCATCATGTTTGGTAAAGTAGAGGGTCAGTGAAAACAAGGGAAACCCTCCATGAGATAGATTGACATAATAGCCACAACAATGGACTCAAACATACCGATGACCATGAAGATAGCACAGGACTGGGCAACATTTCCTTCTGATATAGATAAGATCACTATGAGTTGGAGCTGACTCGGCAGCAACTAACAACAATCTCAGAGAGCTGTTGTGAGGATTCTATGAGATTATACGTGGCACAAGCAAGTATTTGATGAGTAGTAGCTTTTAAAACAATGTGGACGAGGGTGAGGGTCAAGTCTGAGAAACCTGGGGGAAGCAGATTGAAGAGGACCGAGGGAGTGATTAGACATGGTCTCAAGATGTTAAGGATAGTCCTGAGACTTCTCATGTGGATGGACACTGAGGCCACCGGTGAGATCTTCACCTCTTCTGAGATATCTGCCTCCTCAAAGGGCAGGAATCTCTGTGCTTGTTTATAAGAAGCACAGACAGTGGCTGGGACACTGGTCGTATGGATAGACGCATCATGCCTGACCAGCAGCAGGAAGCAGTAGGAAGAGAGGCAAAGTGAACTTCTGAATTCCAATTCCAGCTGTGCCTCTTACCTCTGGGAAACTCTGGAGAAGTTACTAATTTCTCTGAGTCTCCATATCTCCCTCAAGAGAAAGGATAGGTATTAATTTTTTCGGAATAATGATGGCATGTGTGAACTGCCTCCAATGATACTTAAGAGCTCCTACCTCAATAAATGCTGGTTCTGGTGGGGGAGGGGAGCAGTAACCATTTCTTAAATTTATTTTCCACCAGTGCCAACAACCTCTCTTCCCTACGGCTGTTAGTACTGTGCTGAACTCATCATCACAAAAGTGGAACTTAATTAATGCTTACTGAACTGAAAGGACAATTACATCCCCTTGTCCCTTGGGGCAAGGCCCAGACTAAAACCACCTTCAGAAACTAGAGTGGCAATTTTATGTCCAAATACACCAGAGAATCCAGAGTTTTTGAGACAGTAAGAAAGTCAGAAGCCTACACGTCCCTTTTTGGTAGTCGACGTACCTTTTGTAGTCTTCTGCGCTTGTGAGCTTCCTTCTGAATTCTTCTTACATGAACAGCCCGCGTCATTCACGCAAGAAGACTCAACAGAAGAAAAAAAAGTTAGTAAAACTAGTAGTGAGAGGATGACAGGAATATGAAAAAGTAATACATGCAACTTCTTAGATATTTCTCACTGTTCCTGGCAAAGGTACATGCAGAGAAAGACCTTGCAGGCACAGCTTGAAAACTCCACCTTCACCTGGGAGCACAGCAGAGAGAAGGGGCTGATGTGGAAAACGCATGGGCCAAGGACTGCGGCAGGCTGGGGTTCAAGTTCCAGCTCAGTCACTCAACACCTGGTGATCTTTGGCAAGTCACTGAACCTCTCTACTGCCTTGGTTTTCTTGTCAAATTCTTGTGAGAATGAAGTCAGCTAATGCATATGGAGCACCAAGAAGGGTGGCTGCCATGGTAAGTACTCCATAAATGTTGCTGTAATTGTTCATGCAATCGCTCACCATGCCTCCTTTGGTAACATTTAATTGAGCAACTACTAATGTGCCTGGGCACTGGGAAGACACTGAAACCTAGTCCCTGTGCTGAGGAGCTCCCAGTCTAGTAGGGGGAGATCACAGTAAACAGACAATCACATTATTTTTGTTAGTTGCCATCACGTTGATGCCAACTCATGTCAGCTCCATCTGTGCAGAGTAGAACTGCTCTATAGGGTTTTCAGGGCTGTGACCTTTCAGAAGCAGATCACCAGGCATGTCAACCTTTCAGCTAGTAGTTGAGCACTTAGCCACCTGTGCCACCCAGGGACTCCTGACAATCACACTGAGGTGTGAAATTATCACATATTTATTACAGCATTAATATAAGTTAGGATTAAGTTTGATGTAACAGAGATTCAACCTTGCCTGAAACTAGGCAGAAATTTCTCCCACATAAAGCCTGAAGAAAGGCAATCCAGGCTCATATCATGGTTGTGCTGTGCTATGTCCTTTGGGACTGATTTTTCCCAGCTCACGGTTTCACCCTTACTAAGGTGGGACCCTTATCCTTAGGGTCCAAGATGGCAGCTGGAGCGCCAGTCATCACATTCACATTCCAGACAGCAGGATAGAGGAAAGGACAAAGAGATGAAGGGTCCACACCAGCTGTCTTTTAAAGAAGGTTCCCAGAAACTGCCCCATGGCACATGCACTTTAACTGGATCTTAGTTACACGGCCATACATAGATATAGGGGAGGCTAGGAAATGTAGGCCGTATACTAGCAACGTGTGTGTCCACTGAAAAATCAGAGGTGCTCTTTCATTGTTGTGGGTTTTTTTTAATATTTTATTGTGTTTTAGGTGAAAGTTTACACAGAAAATTAAGTTCCCATTTAACAATTTTTATATAAATTGTTCCATGACACGGGTTATAATTTTCACAACATGTTAGCATTCTCATTATTTCCATTCTGTTTGTTCTGTTTCCATTGATTTATCTTCCCTGCCCCTCCTTGCCCTCTCACCTTTGTTTTTAGGTA